TTATATATATAATATATCAATGGATGAACAAATGTGTTACGGGAAAAAGGTTGATCATAAAAATTTTGGATGAATATGAATGGTTCTTAATTACTACTTAAAAGTTTCACTTAGTATTGTTTTGCTTGTATCTTCCCATTGAGGTTTAAGAATTCGATTGATCAGTCTGTTATTGGCATATGTGTATACTGTGCGTACGCATCGATATTGCCTTAATTCACAAGCTTTTATAAGCACAGATGGATAGCGGCTAGCAGTGGAACCCAGGACGCACGTTTCATCCTATTTGGGCCTTGTCAGCTGGATGGTACATCCAGCAATATCGAAGCTAGCACAGTATGCACATATGCCAATAACTGACTGATCAATTGCAGTCTTAAACCGCAATGGGAAGATACAAGCAAAACAGTACCAAGTGAATTCAAATTCACCACATTGCACAAGCAAGCGGCTGTCAGGACTCAGTAGCTGAGTGGGTAACGCGATGGCGTTTGAAGCGAATGACACTGGGTTCGAGTCGCAGGGTTATATCCCAGTGAAGACTACATTACGAGTAACGACTGAGACCTATTAATGAACAAATATTATTTGTATATTCTCGTGGTATAAATATTCAGTAACTAGATTATTTATATTTATATTCCCCTTGTTATAAGCTTTGTTTTGACCCTTGTTTATTATTGTACGATTTACTGTTCTTAAGCTATGTTCAGTTTATTAACTACTGCCTCCCACGCTCACAGTCACTTTTTGGCTTTATTGTGTACAAATGTTATTTCCTATTTTATGGTGCGTTGCGGTCTGTTTGTGTGATATATAAACCTAGTATGTCTGAAATAAATGATTCGATTCGCATAGTGGAAGCTGGTATTGGTGTTCTGGACTCAAGTGGACGGGCTAGGTGGACATAGGACCAGTAAAGACGCTAGGCTGCTCATACCGGTTGAACTTCATTGGTTTCGCACAGTGCTAATATTGTATAAGTCGTATTTGGATTGGTGAACAAATCACTTGATAAGAAGCCGGACATAAAGTCACAACACCAGAGTGAACATCAACTCTGAGATGCAAGTACGTCAAGCTGACGAGTCCCAAATAGGACGAAACGCGCGTCCTGGATCCCAATGCTAGCCACTACCCATCTTTGCTTATTTAAAAGTTTGATTTACATATTTTAAATATTTACACCTTAAATGTTTATAAAATAAGAAGTTTGTTGTAACTTCTATATTTTGTGCTGAGATTCCTTACTGAATGAAGTGATTATTATTATGATTATCATCATCTGAAATGATCTTGGCCAGAAGCAAACAAATTGAATCAGGTGTCCATCGAGATTGTCGTTCTATCCGATTTGTTTGTAAAAGAAAATGTAGCTAGGATGCGCATTTTAATGAAGCATAAACTGTTAGACATTTCTTCGTAGAATTGGAGTCTAGAGTAAAACTACTTATTTGGAACTCAGTCAAATGTTTTACAAGTTTGTTAGTGAAAATTTATGCTAGTAATTGAAGAAAGTTTAAAACAGTCACTGAGAGTATGAAAGGTTGTAGTTGGTAAATCTCCTGCTTGGTACTGAACAGTATGATGGAGAGGAGAAGGAAAAGCAGCCTTAAACTGAATTATTAATTGTCGCAGCTACTTTTGGAACAATAACGGTGTACTACATGGTAGTATTTATCAATGATACATTGGTTATAATATCATGCTAACATCAAGGGCTTACATCGACCGACCGACAAGTTACGTACTTACGAACTGTTAATCATAAATTGTTTTGTAATATTCACTGTGAATTTTATAGATATTATTGGCCAGTTTACATTAGCTCAGTAATTTAAATTTAAAACTCTATGTATTAACCCGGGGTTATTAGTGAATAATCGGAGAACAATATTCTCGGCTTCTCATTGCAATGAGATAACACCTATTCAAACTTACATCTCACATACCATATGACATGCCTAGCTTTGCTCTGCAGCAGTCGTAATAACTGACGATATTAAGATTGACAATCATTCACTAGTCAGGATTTTAATAAATGAGAAAAGATTTAATATGGCCTCATGAAAGGACATATATCCATGACATTGGGTCAATTGACTAGTTACATTCACCAATAGTCTTTAACTTGAACTTTGATCGGAGAGACTAATTTATGGACGAACCTTGAACGAATCTCAAGTGACCTTGACAATTATTAACCAATCAGAAGACAGTTAGTATAAAGTAAAAATATATTATAAGAAACTAATGAATTACAGTGGATATTCTTCTTTTACGTGATTTAAAAACTTGTTAACGTTTGATAAAGGTTCAGATGTTCTGAAATCATAATGCATACGATATAGGAACTCGTTCATATGGCTCCATAATAGTCGTCCTCTGGAGTCATGGTACGGTCTTAAAAATTCCTTCAATCTCGACCACATGGCTTCAATGTTGTTAGTATGAACGCCGGTAGTAGGGTCGACAAAATGGCGTTTATGCACTACGACATGATGGACATACTCAAGTCTATGAAGGCATCTATACGCTCTCCAATCATGTGTATATAACGTAGTGCCCGGCTGCACGTATTCCTTTATAACTGGTATTATTGTGCTTGCTTGACGGTTTGTCACCCTCTGGAAATGCTCCTTTTGCGTTGAGCGATCATAAATTCCAAGTACCTGTCAAGTATATTTACAGAAGTGCTACTTACCCAATCTTCCTTGATACTACGTCCTCTGTTGTATTTTCACTCTCGCACTACTGTTTCATCTATTTCCACAATACTTCCGACTCCTCCGAATGATTCGTGTAGACGTGTCATTTTAAGTGCACATATATCACGACAATACTCATACCACTGGACGGCTGGAGTTTCAGTAACATCTGCAAACGCCGCAACCAGTGTTACTGGTGCCTTTATAATCCAATTTGCAACTATTATCATGATTCGCCTCAGTCGCGATCGAGCGAAGAAAGTCCCCGTTCGAGCAGACTTTCTTCTCCAACATAAAGAACAACGAAATACAATCTCATCACGATAGTCTGCACACTGTACCGCAGTCAGAGGTACAGGAACTTCTTAGTAGTATCATCTCTTGTAGCCGCTCAATAATCACCTCTTCTCTAAAATCCGCTGTAAACCGGTCGTATGTGAGTATCAGGTGTTGAAATTAACTCTGTGACCTTGAAATTCATCAAACGCTTCTGATTGGCTCATCCATAAATTAGAGTCTCGCCCTTTGATCGAATAGGTTGACTAGTGATTCATTATTATGTTGCATTTAATGAAATAAAATACACAACTATGTACACACAAAAATAAATAACACAACATTTAACAATTAATAACTGAGTGAGCATAAAATCATTTCAGAAAATCATTGAAAATCTAACTTGATGTCATTTTTGGTACAAAAAATCACATTTTATATAACACTGACATATGATTAGTTAACTCAGTACCATTGAAGTATGTTTAACCAATCGACCATTAGAAAGATAATAATGAATAAAAATAGGTAGTATAAGTATCGATGTTTTAGAATATTCAACCATTGTACTGTTAGATCAATATAATCTTTATTTAAGCTGAAATAATAATCTCTACCTTATCAAGTGATATTTTGTAATTACATCATACTCTGTCCCCCCCCCCTCAAGTATAGTAAATCTAAATAGATTAACATGGTTATCAAATGAATACATGATTTTTTTTCTTTCATAGTTGTACCAAATAAAACCAACTTTAGATAGAATAAAATATTCGAATAAATCAATTAAAGATTTTCCAATGAAGGGTTCATACATATTATAACTGATTGTATTATTATTATAAGGTAATATAATATTAAGAAAAGATAATTACGTTCAACTTTAAAAAAGATTTTCTCTTGTAAACAAAATTAACAATAAGATTAAAAAAGACAATATGGATCTTATTTTTTTAATAGTTGAATTGATGAGTTAATTGAAGTCAGACCAATACGGAAAACGTGAAAGCACTGGATAGTCGTTTCGTCCCAGTATGAGACTCCTCAGTAGTGTGTATCCACGGTCCTACTTCGTGAAATTCGAACCCAATACCTATCGGTCTCGCATGCAAGCGCGAGCCGGTCGATATCCAACGGTGTTAATGTCTAACTTTAACTAATCTACGAAGTTGCTCCACCGTCTACTCATGAACTCAACTATTAAATTATTATAACATCCACAAAAACCCTTCACTGATTATAATTTTGTTTTTATTTATTAGATTCTAAAATTGAAACAAATAATTCATATCAAGAAAACAGCATAGAAAAACAAACAAACAACAACACTAAACTGCAATTTCAAATCTTATTCAAATATGCTCATTTTGTTTACGTATCAATGTTTGTAAATAAGAATGAATGAATGAATGAATAAGTAAATGGATATATAAATAAATAATAAAGTTAATTATTCAATAAATTAATAAGTAGTCTGAATAATTTGCTTAAATAATGTTCATACAATTTATAAAATTAATAATATTAGTCAAATATAAGATTATCTAATTCTAATTAGATAATCAGTAATAAAAGTATAGGTGGTTAATATTCCATAAATATGGGGGTGGGGAAGGGAAAGCAACAACGAAAAAATAAACCAACTTATACTACTTATTAACAATCAGAAAATACTATCCTATACAAAATCTAATTAGAATTATTCAAAACAAAAAGGAAGAAAGAAATATAGTAACGACAATAATAATCATGATAAAAATTATGAGAATAGTTGTGAAAGACAATAACTCGTAATTGTCATTCTTATTTCAAGGGTTTACAGTACAGATGGAAATTTAAATGATCTAAATGGAACGGTTGAAAATAAAAGTAACTTAAAGCACGAATGGAAATGTGACATATAACATGATTTGGAGAGTATATATATGCATCATCCACTTATGAGGACAACTATACATTTACGATGATTGTCATACTTATAAATGAAATGAATCTTGTTTAGTTTGTCTCAAAGTTTTAAGTAGAGACAGAAACTATTCCGTTTGTCAGAGTATACAATTGTGGAGAATCAGTAAATGTTTGAATTCTTTTCATTTTTGCCTTACCTGACATTAGATGACCATTTTGATTAATATTACGACTAGTTATATGTGGCAATAGATGTACAACATCAGTGAGTTCAGAATCAGAATGATGATCAGAGATTAACTTTTCGGTACTCAATTGATCGAATGATAAACGTCTACCATGTCGAGTTTTCCAGTCATACAATGTTGGTTTGAATGCAGTAATACGACGATAAAGTTTATTGTGCATGTCAAATGAACTGTTTGATGACGAGTAGGTTGAATGCTTTGCCTGAAAAAATGTTCGTAAGCTCTTCCATGAGAAATTGGAATCCTAACAAAACAGTGAGGAAAAAACAACAAAACAACACACAATTACAACAGCAGCAAACAGACATAATGAAGATATGGTGAATTATTTTGTAGATTTAAAGGTTCGAACAGCATTTAAACATGACAAAATTGATGTGTATAACTGATAATATAAGAACGAACTGATTAGAATACTTCATTTCATTGAATCAGTTGATAATTCTACCAATTTACAGATCATCCGCTAAGTTATAGTTCAAATAAGATGGTACTACTTGGTTAACAGATTTATAGAGGTGAGTCTAGGTTTCATTGAATCTTCTCAAAAATTTATGTCAACCATTCAATTACTGAAAACCAAGACACACTAAACATTAGTAGTATTTAGCTCAACAGTGCATATTCACGATCATCACAAGAATCGGGTATTCAGGTAACACGACAAACACGGTCCTTTCAGATCAGCCAGTCAGGATTCAAAGACCTACATTCTGTACCTTAAGTAGTACACAATATAAAACGACCATCATGCAGTATCCTTGGTAAGCTACTGTCTCCTTTCCAACCTGGTTTAGATCTCTATTGATTATGACTTTCAATGAGGACATCAAGATTATCTTTCAAAGTTGGTCAATACTGAACAGATGATCATTATTATATAAAGACAACAAAAACTAAATTCACATTAAACGATCCTCACGAACACTTATCACAAGTATATATTTTAACAAACCAACTGTATTGTTTAAACTAATAACGTTGAATAGAAATCTTACTCTTTACTGTATGACTTCCTATTAAATTAAACATAACAAAAAACTAACTTTTTACCTTTAACCATGGACAAAAAGGTACTACACTAATCAACCATTAAAAGAGTGATTCTTACCGAACAACTTTCGATTAAACAAGTGTAAATCACATAGAAATCAAGTTCAAATTCTCATGAAATTGTAGACACATTTTGCTGACGAATGATAACTAATACCGTTCTAAACTACATGATGTTCGTCTGCAGTTGCCGGAATAAGTAGATTATATCAAAAAGATGGAGATGAAATTAAAAGAAAACCTGGGTTGCGTTTTATTAAACTCATAATCAAATAATGCTATACGTCATCAATTTGATGAGATTTTACTGATTACTTATATCATGGTTTCTTTATGCAAAAAATTATACTTTATTAAGTTGTAGGACTAGAGAGTTAAGCTGGTATGATTTGTAGTTATTTCGGAGTTCAAGGTATAGATGGTGACAGATACTTCTAATATACAACAGGTATATAGTGACTAAACTGACTGACAATAATTGGTAAACAAGAAGCAACAAGATAAAACTTTAAAGACAACTCTCATGTCTCAGTAAAAACCAATAAGATAAAAAGACACCAAAATATATATGGTATTTTATGAGATGGAATAACAAATCCAAATAGGTTTCAACTATATATTATTGCTTAAATTGGACAAATCACAATAATAATGCGAAAAAGGTCATAATACTGAATTTCGCTATGATCAATTTAATCAGTCATAATATTGATCTGGAGCATATGTTTAATTTGTTTACATTTTTTTCAGCAAGTTGTTTTCTACGGGATGGGGTTGCTGACCCCACTCCTATCCCTCATTCTTTACCCAGGCTTGGGACCGGCAGTAACACTAGAAGAGCTACAGGGGATTTTGTATTGACCTCAGTCAACTCTAATTAAAAGCACATACCAAAAAGTCAACACATTCTCAATAAAAGGAAACCAATACCCAAGTATCGATTTCCAGAGTTCATTTTCAGGAATTTTAGACTTATGTTGCTTCATAGTTGATCTTTTCTAGCAAGGCATATCTTCATAATCAAAGACCGTATCATTGAACTATTTAGGATCAGTAGTTTAAATAATTAATTTCAGCACAGGACCAGCTTATGTTTAGGCAACTAAGAGAAGTGGCAATATCATTATTGCTAACACACTTAACTTTTTCAGTATGTGAACCTGCATACGACTACTGATCCAATATTCATAATTTATAAATAGATACTTCTCATAGACAAGATTTCTGATGATTAAACCGACTATTTACATCTAAAACCTTGGAAAAATGTACAACACTCTCAATGTACTAAACGAACTAGATCAATTTGTTACACTGAACCAAAAATAAAACAATTATAATGTCTCTAATATCATAGAATTAGTGCTCAAAACTGCACAAGTATCGATAGCACATAATTCAGTTCCGTCTAACACAGAGAGAGAGAGAGAAGTGGTGTGAAAAACTTTTCAGGTTTTCGTTTTAAAAATCAGATCTTTTTTTTCATTTTTTTTCTTCATTAGTAAATTGTTTGATCCTTAGTACAAAGTTGTACACCACTTAAACAAACTAACATGCTGACACTCACCTTTAGCACAGTAATCATAACAATACCTAACACTGTGAATATCAAACCGAATATTAAACCAACATAATCCATATAATTCAATGCATTTAATTCATGAAATAACACTGTTGATGCAATGATTACAAAGCCAGTGAAGAACACATATAGTAACGGTGTAATTATGCCAGTACTGAATAAATCTAATGCTCGATTTAAATAATACATTTGTATTGTGATTGCACCAATAAGCCAGATCATCAGGAACCAAAAAAACCATGATGAGAACATTGATGAAAAGCCAACAGTGAATGCATTCTAAAATATTTTTTTGTGTAAAAAGTGATTTTGGTGGGAAAAATACGAAGAAGCTAAGTAAATGACATATACTTATTATTAAATAAATGTGATTTAAAAAATACAACAACATTTTTGATAGTTCCGTTAGATCATAAAATAGTCGATTTGAATAGAATTAATATCAGAAGGGGTTTTGTGGATACTATAGAAATTTTAATATTTGAGATCATGAGTCAATTGAAACTAGATCACCATGGAAAACCTGAAAGCACTGGACGGCCATTTCGTCCTATTGTGGGACTTCTCAGTGGTGAGCATCCACGATCTCGCCTCGCGAGATTCGAACCCGAGACCTATCAGTCTGGCGTGCGAGCGCTTAACCACTAGACCACTGAGCCGGCATCCAAAGGCTCATGATATCAACTATTAAAATAGAATTAATGCCGAGAACACTTTCTCATTAAGTTTGGATGTTATATATTATGCGGATGCTAATTCTACAGTTGAACGGTGGCTTAATTTTCAATTTGTTCACCTTTCAATCAGTAAGTAGAGGATTCGAATTCTGTCCCACTTACTTCATTTACAGTTAGTCATAATCAACGTAGGGCATACCACAAATGTGAGTTGGCCCAAAATTCTATGCCCTATTAGCATGATGACATGAAGCTAATCAATCGCTGATAGTGGTCATTAAATGAAACCCAACCAAGTAGTCGGCATCTACTAACATAGATCAGTTCAACAGTCGGTGACTTCGCGGGCTAATATCATGTTTTCATTTGACCACTCCTAGATTCCTTCCAACTTTCTCCTACACCAGATAACATCACCCATCGAGTGATGGTTAGATTTTCGTAACTGGGTAGCACAATTAGGCCTGATAATTGGAGTTTGAGACTTAGAAATGAATAGACAAATCTGTACTTTGCAAATAAGTTACATTCAATCATTTTAATTTATTTACAGATTGTAAACGTATTTTGATCTGATGAGTATACACCTATGGGTAAAAATACTCAAGTTTTCTACCTAACTCGTCCTTAATTCAACACCAAGATAAGCAGAGCAAAAGTGAGCTACTGGATTACAGTTTAATCACTGTTTGCAAATAATTTAAGTATAATCAACGATTTTGAAATGTGTAATTAAAAAGAATATAGAGGATAAATCAAAAAAATCTTTTAGGAAAATATGAAGCTTTTTTGATGGAGTTTTGTTCTCTGAGCTGGATGTTTTGGTCGTGGAGCTTTGATCGTTCTTCTGAACGACATCATCAGCACAAACTTCAGGTAGAAGTGGTGTTCGAATTTCTTCGCATATGGCTCACAGATTGTCCTGTAGACCTCGATGTTATGGAGAAATTCGAACACTTCACCTCTACCTGAAGTTTGTGCTGATGATGTCGTCCAGAAGAACGATGAAAGCTTCACAACCAAACCATTCAGCTCAGAGAACAAAACTCTATCAAAATCATCCACCTGAACTACAAATCTTCTCCACCATCTCAAAGCTCATTTTCTACTCACTTTTAATCCTACACCAATACCTTTACAAGCAACAACTGACAATGAGCCAATACTTCCACTGACCAATGTGAAGATAATTGGGTTTGTTTTACCATAACGTGGACCCAAAATAAAAATCAATACGATGGACATTAATATAACGAATAAACTGTAGATAATGAAAGCTGAGAAGAAAAACAATCAAATATAATAAAAAAATACTTAGATAAATAAATGCATCAGTGCAATGTATAATGAATAAAATATAAGAATACTGAAGTGATCGCTTCAGGGTTCCAAGCTCGAAACAAGTTGATTTTTTCTGAACTTTTATCTGAAGTTTTGATCAAAGTGCACGTGATTCTTCAATGAAATGATTGATGAGAACCTACAAACACAGAAACTAAGTGTATGCGTCTATGCAATAGGCTTTAAACTTACATTTATGATTAGACTATACTGTCCTATGAGGTCTATCAGAATAAAGATAACATCAATATCTTAATGTGAAAATTGAAAAGAAATGCCGGACACCAATCCTTTAACATTCCGGTTTTTAGAAAAAACATGTAGAGTGCAGTGTCAACCCACATCGGTTACTCTAAATTTCAGACAGATCGATTAATTTTACTCTACTTGAGCCACATTTTGACCTTGTCAATTGTTGGCTTATTGACCTTGACTGGTTTTTAGATGAGTGTGTGTGTGTATCGCTGACTCCATTTATTACAAGTCTTTAGCTCGTTTTTGTCTGGCTGTAAAGATTGATTCACACATTATCAAAAGGAGTTGGTACAGTTGTATTCTCCGTCTCGCTTAGCTCTCCCGCTTCTCATTATTAATTTCTGATTAGTCTGAATAAACTATTGTATGAAATAAACCAATCCAGCTTAATCTGCATTTGGTTTTTTATTATCTCCACACACAGGTTAACTTAAGTGTAACATAATTAAATGGAAGATCCATATTCTTGGAGTATTCATACGCTCGTCCAAATCGGAGTCAGATCTCGGGTCGCTAAACTGGTGAGCCAACATAAGAGTTAAATAAATTCTTTGAATTTACTAAGACATAATCTGTTGTGACATTGTAGTGACTCACTTTTATCACAAGAACACGACTGGTTTATTGAAAACAATTATTATAACCAATTGTACCAGTGACTGTTTTAATGTGCTTTTGTTTAACTGTGCTAAAAAGCATTCATTATTCTTACACTTTGATTGTGACTTCGCGCGAATTCGGTTACGTTCTGTAACCAAGCTTGTACCTGGCACGATCTCGGTATTCTTTCGATACCACGAGATCGCCAGCAAATATATCTCGACTTGGTCCATTAACTGCCTTCTGATATTTGGCTTCCGGGGGGTTTTATGGATATCCTGGCATGCGTTCCTTTGTAGTGGTGTTCATAGTCTATCGCGACCTGACACCACGCTACAACATTATGAAGTAGGAATGAGTTCGTATGAATAAAAAGGCACGTCAGATACATGCTTCTTTTGATCTAAATTGCATTGGGAACATTAATAAATCAGGTTTGTTTTTTGTCTGTTCAAAGTAAACTCTGAAGTGAAGTACGATGTTGGTGACACGCATAGTTACAAGTCACAAGGGTACATGCCGTCGATGTTCCATTGAAACATTTCATCGTCTTACTGGTGAGTACGCAATAAAACATGGAGATTTAAGTAGAATTGTGTATAGAAAAAATAAAGGATTGACAGGGAAAACCGATTTTGAACCTCAACAATTTTATATGCGATGTGAAGCCTTTGTAGATGAACAAGATTCTTTGCATTCTTAATGATACATTCTTAGAACAACTTATTTGTGCGCTTATTGATGTAGATACTCCAAGGTAATTTAGGTGTCAATCAGAGTCTGAGGTATAGTATAGATTTCACTACTATTTAGAATGTAGAAATACTATCCGAACTGAGTCAAGATTGAGTAGTTAGTAATCTTTGAGTGAGTAGAGGAGAACTTCATCGGGAAATATCAAACTCTCTTGTAAATACTTCAGGGACACTGGACAGACATCATATTACATACTGAGGTATTGGGATACGTGGAACAATTTTCTGGTGTTATGGGTAAGTAATATGTCTTTCTGAGTTGAGTTAAAAATTGCTCATTACCTTAAAGAATGACAAAATAGATTTGTGTGCAACAAGTACAGAAAGATATAATATCGGTTAGTTTTTCAACATACGTTTATCGATCACCCATTTCTTTCCTAATTTTGTTTAAATATCAGCCTAAAACCAATGTTTTACTATTATGGATGCTTGTTTAGTTTACTTAACTACTAAGCTGTCAGAAAAAAGTTCCTATGCTATGAAAGAAAAAGGCTAATCTAAGTGAGCAACCAATTTCATCAAGTTATTGTGGAAATTAGTCGAATATGAAAAGACTGATATCAACTAGAGAATTATAGAAAATCATGGGACATTGCAAAAATGTTTCGCTAACAACTTTACACGGATGAATGGAGTTTAACTAAAAAGTTTACAACTAGGACTGAGACAGTTACCTGTGATGTATAATTGAACTATGAAAAACTATTCAAATACTAACAGTTGCTGATAAAATCTTGTTTATAGTTAGTATCTAATCAACTTGTATAAATCACTAAACCAAATCAAACTATAAATCTTTGATAGTTAGTGAATTATTTTGTTTGTTCCTCATGATGTAATCAGTCAAAATGATTGTTCTATAGTACATTTTTTGAAAGAATAATTTTAATTGTAAGTTCTTTCTTTTTTTGTCTAACTCACTAATTGATGTGATCGTCTTTCATCGATCTGTAAGTAACACCCCAGTAAACCACTCAATAGTTGACTGTTTTATATTTTAAAAATCTTAATTATGCACCCATTGAGACTTATCATTTGTAATATTGATTGTGATTTGATATTTTACTTGTACAACCATGCCAAAGTTATAGAGATTCAAATAATAAATATTTTGTGGTCACATCAATTTATCTTGTTGTTATTCTTATTGGGAATTCTTATGCTTCATTGATTATGTAAAAAGGAACACGAATAGTCATATTAGAGATAAAATGTTGTGAATGTACAATATAGAATATAAAACTTACATGGATCGGTAGCTCTTAACCACATTTCATGTAGTGATGTTAAATTTTGTTCTTTTGGTGCATGTAATACAATTAAAGTTGAACCTAATATACATATACCGCATCCAAATCCACCAATACAATTTAAACGTTCATTTAAAAAGCGTACACTTAACAGTGCACTAACAAGTACAGATAATGCACCTAACGGTGTCACTAGTATAGCTGGAGCGAATGTATACGCTACAAAATTGGCAAATTCACCAATACCCATTAGAATAAAACCCATCCACCACATCCATTCACACAAATAACTTAGGGATCCATCACCTAGTAAAATAAATAATAATAAAAAAAGCATTTATACATTAGTTCCACATAAATAACTATTGAAAAGAGGATTGTAGAGATTGTTGAAGTACCCATCACGGACTGAAACAGGCTAATTTTAGTCCAATTATAATATGACAATATGTATCAGCTTAGCAGGTTCACTTTTGTAATCTCATCAACTGGTTTAATTTCTTTGCCATCCAGACAGGTAGGTTTACTAGCCATCACAGACGTACAAAAATTCGGTTTAAAGCTGGTTAAGTAGACCCTCTCTATTGTTGTCATACACATACACATATGTACGACGGTTCATACATTTCCTTTTTTGTATGGATATAATCCATTGATTATCATATGAAATACAGTACCGTACAAATTGAAGGTTTGGATTTTATTGACTAAAATATTCGACTTTCAGTTAGTACGAGTTCCAGATCCAAACCTCACATTCCACTCAGGTGTTTACATTGTAATTAAAAGCCGACTACATAAGATCCATACTTGATATTTAAGTTACAATTCATTAAATGTGAATATAAGCAAATGCATAGATTTATGAATATTCAGAAATTTTAAATTAATCAAACAAATTGATAAAACTAATTTATTATAGACAAATTTATTGAAAATAAAGAGATTAATTCTTGATGTTAATTAAGGTCATTTGAATTCGAGTAAATCATTTAAGTCAATTGTGATCAATTGACTCAATAATAATAAGTTGAAAAGTAGTTTTTTTTTCTCAAACGTTTTTATTTTAGAATTTTAATAGTTGAGAGCATGAGTCAATCGAAACTAGGTTACCATGGAAAACCTGGAATCATCGGACAGGCATTTCGTCCTATTGTGTGACTCCTCAGAGATGCGCATTCACGATACCGCATCGCGAGATTCTAATCCAAGACCTATCAGTCTCGCGCGTGAGCGCTTAACCACTAGACCACTGAGCTTGCCGATATACAACGGTGTTAATTCCTGACTTCAACTAATTCACCAAATTGAGCAACACATCCACCATTGTCTTCAGTGAGTTACTATCTCACAACAAAACCCGGTTGAACTCCACTAGTCACTGCTTCTCATTAGAACTCCAGGAAATACCTCTTGAAGCCAATCACTAGTGGGTATATGATGATTATAATCAAAAGGGGTTTTGTGGATATTTCACATTCCACATGATTAAATTATGAGAGGGAATTATCAAAATGACGACTAATATATAGTCAGATAATAATAGTAAAACTTCCAGTGGAGAAGAAACCAGAAGCAGTCTAGTTCAAAATGAACTCACGAGATCGATAACAACGAAGTATGAAGTAATACTAATACTCATTCATGAGCAGAATACGAAAACTGGATGCAACTTCCCGATCAAAACGGGTTTAAAATCATGTCATCTAAGCTCGCTGATCATATCTTATGGCTATCATGTGGTAAATTTACCGATTATTCACCAACTATTCATTTTTGACTATAATAATATAGCTTACTTAACAAACGTACAATATATAAGTACATTTTTAGTAGATAGTGAAACAATAAACTGTTATCTTTAGGCTTTAATCACATGGGATTACCTATTAACAGTTGCCAGATTCAATACTAGGTTCAAGTGGATAAAGAATATGCACACTTTCTTCCTTCCTTCATTAACCATTATAACACGTCAAAAAAGCAGTAGTCCATGATCGACAACGCACATCCCAACCAATGAAGTAAATATACAGTCATAATTAGTAAGCTACAACCAACTCATTTACAAAGTACGCTTTTGTATATCCATACTCGAGCCAACCTGGGATATTTGACAGCTAGAGAGACTATCTGGTTAACCATATAAGAGATGACATATAATGACACAAACATCTGACTTAATGACTAAAAACCGACTGCTTAAACCAATAAGTAACTGATCCCCGATATACGATTCTGACTCATTATAAGAATAACACCGTTTGTCCGAGTTCTGTGGAACTGGATGTAACATAACTTTGCTACTTCAATATCATAGTTCTGAAGTGTTTAATGAATCTATTAACAAACTATGAATAATATCCTTCAAAATTTAACACTAGAATGAATAATTCAACCTGAGTTTCCACCTACAACACCGACTTAAATTTCACATGAAACATATGTTACTTGAAACTACATACACCTTACAGATATCGTTAAATTTATACATAAATGAGGTCAAAATGAATGGGTTCACTCACCAGCGCTAAATCCATTCCTGGAACTTCGACGAAGTGCAAGCTTTTTAAATATAAAACTAGTTCCAATGAATAAGGTCGACAATAAGGCGAGGCAAAGTCCAATATAAAAGTTAACAGGTGATTTCTGCACTATCAATGATGGTAAATAGTCTGATTTATTAACACCAATATGCATAGTATAATATTCATAACACTCTAAAACGGAATAAAATCAAATGGCCTGAAAACTAGAATGGCCATGCATAGAACTAAGGTAGAACAACAAAAACATAAGCGGTATGCACTAAACAATTTTTCAACTACCGAACTTTAGCTGCCACTCAACTGTGTCGACCAAACAGACTTTACAACAATGTAGGCTGTTGAAATTTGTGCCAAAGGAGTAAATAAATTTTGTGTAGGCTCGCCTCAACTACCACTAGACGAGTATGAACTCAAAGTCAATTCTAATCTACACATTTAGCTTCAAGAGATGTACATTAGCTTTTCTTGATAACTATATCTCCACTTAATAATGCAATGGACGTACTAGTGCAAATAAAGTTTTCGTCATATAGCATTGCAAGGAATTATTTACTTCCTCAAAATTAATAATAGACACAGAGCATGTAAGTGGCATCATGCTATTTGGTGAAAACACTGGCAAAATGCAGAGTATTCCGATGCATGCATGGGACTTGTTTCTCTCCCTCTTTATGTAGAATTTCGTTTCAGAACACCGATCATACGGACTGAGGAATTTCAACACCTATCTAATTTAAAAGTACCATCAGCCTTGAGAGGTTGTTATCTGGAGAAATCTCGTCACTTATTAAGAAACCTTGTTAGGATTTTTTCAACTTGGCCCATTTTTAATATGACAAAGATGTCCGTCTGCCAATCAAATGGCGTGCGTAATACCTATCAGTCCCATCTATATTAATCTGTGTTTGAAATTTTACCTTTGAAACCAGAGCATATGCGTAGGCTGTGAGGTTCTCATAATACTTGACTTCCAAGCATTTCTCAAATTTTGTGAAACAGGTAAGAAATATTGTGGATAGGCATACTATAAAAAGCAAAGATAGCAAATAAATTGTCAAAAATGTAAATCGTCACAAACAGTAAGTTCACTGAACAACATTACCGAATATACAGCAAACAAACTAACTAAATGTGCAAAATTAGAATGCTCACGAAAATATTTACGAAAAAAACATGGCGAAACCCAAGAATTCATTGTCTACTGATCCGAGTTACTTTGGTAGGCGTAGACTACTTGGTCAGGGTCTGCTTGACAACCGCGATCAGTAGCCGAAGACGTTGGGTGGCACAACTCAGGATTGGTCACAGTGGAACAGATACATTCATTTTTTTTATCTCCATCCAAGTCTTGACTACCAGTATTTCTTCACATGTATCTTTTCATCACATTCTGTCGAACTATAATATTAATGTTTGGTCTTTCTTATTACAAATACTAATACATTAACTGCCCTTCTTTGATATTCAATAGTATTTACCTAAATTGATTTTACTGGTATAACTAGTTTAAATACAAAGTCAATTCAAAAGTAAACCACTTCTTAACTTGCAAGTATTTACAAGAAAAGATTGTGTTCAGTGAGTATTTAGTTATTCCGAGTGGGAAAGTGGCTTACTAGTCAAAGCAACCCTCTGTCAATTTGCGGTCTATAGGTTCAAATGCGAATTAGCGTGCTTTGGTTTGAGTATTCAGGTAGCCTCAGTGGTTCCTACAAAATGGAATTCGATCAAGTATATGAAATGCTATTTTTTTTTACCAAGTTTCACTGGTTAATCATCGATGACAACTACTACAAATCCGTAATAAAGCAACAGCTCTGACTCCAATGATAACTACTCAGACGTTTATCAGGTCACAACACCACTTAAAATAAAGTCAAACTGCTTTAGTTAGTACTTTGAAATGTAAGTGATGGTTAAAGAGGTCACAAGTTCAGTTCTTAGTTTCAAACTTTGTATTTTGCTTATCCTAAATTTGATTGTAATTACACCTCAATTTTACAAAAACTCTAACTCTATGGGTTAGTTAGTTAACTCCATGAGCTAGTTCCATCCACGTGTTCTGACTTGTTCAGCAAGTCATCTACCTTATATTAATTAACCAACGCTCAACATATCTTAGATTTTCTTACAGGCTACCATGAACATAGAGGACTTATTCATGAAACGAAGACCAATAAGTTTGGAATACGTTCAGTTCTTGTAGGATGATTTATAGATACTGATCACACGTAGGTCTGAAAACTCACCAAGTGTATTTTTAGTCCAAGGTTCTGGGTCGGGAGAATTTTGTGGCTATTTTTAAGTAAATTACTTCTGGAACAACTCCAGGACGAAGACTTTCGAGGTGGAGCACAATGTAAAGATATAGTGACCCTTCACATCTCCTATATGGATGTATTCTAATTGTTGGACAAATATTGATAAATCAGACACCATGTGACTATTGAGTCCGTCTTACATTCCTAATAATTCTATATATCTTACAAGTAATCGTGACTTTCTATATACTTATTTTTGTTATCCATGCCCTTGTTGACTATATTTATGTTACTATATGCGCTTTGTTTGTGTGCATGCCTATTCACCAACTACTCTGTTTGTTGTCCACTTACTAGCCTAAATTACTCTGTTTTACCTAAATAAGGTAAGGCACAGAATTAATCAACGAACTGGTATGTCACCAACCCCAAACCTTCGTTTATTTAGTCCACAATCACAGTTTATCTATGGACAAGCATGTATGAAATATATAGCTTCTACTAAAATCCCGTATTTTTACTTCAGGAGTCTTTATCCGAAAGGACCCACCTTTGGCAGACCATGTTAAAAGACGGGAAGCCGACAAAGAACTAAAACTTAGGTTAGACGCTGGCGAAAAGGACCTGGAAATTGTAAATTTTCGGGTTGTAAGACTTTGAAAGAGAATGATGCCGAAGCCACTCTGGGTGAAGCACGAAGGCACTTAAACAGGCTTCGGATCTGTTACACCAATGCACGAAGCTTACTTAATAATCGACCGGAACTAGGTGTATAGATTGACTCTACAAAGCCAGACATAATCGCAGTAACAGAAACCTGGCTGACACAGGCTGTAGATAGTTTGGAACTTGATTTCGAGGGCTTTACGTTAGTAAGGGCCGACAGAACACAAAAGCGCAAAGGAGGGGGAGTAGCCCTATTCATTAGGAATGCTATTCCATTTGCCATTATCGACAGTGTATCGCATGAGAGTGGGACGTGTGAATGAGTTAGTTGCCGCTTGAAATGCAAGGGACAAGTGCTGCTGATTGGTTTGGTCTATCGCAGTCCAAGCTGTGAGGTAAATGAGATCTTGTTAAGCAGTCTCAATACTTGGTCCCAAAGTGGTCGATGTCTAATCCTAGGGGACTTCAATGCACCTATGGTAAACTGGGAAAATCTGCGAACTAAATCGTCGGAGAATTCTTTCGAGCAGGAACTAGTTGATGGGGTTATCACATGTGCTCTAGTGCAACATGTGAAAGAAGCGACAAGGTACGATCCGGACACTGAATCATCCTTATTAGATCTTATACTGAATCATTATGAAGATGATGTTGCGAACCTCCATCATATGCCACCCCTAGGTAAAAGTGACCACGCAGTTTTCACTTTCGACTTCCATATAACTGCCAGTCACGAGCACGCGTCAGTCCAGTCCAGACCCAACGTCTGGAAAGCAAACATACCAGACATCATGCACTCAGCATCGTTAATAGATTGGACAATAGACCCAGAGTCCTCCATTGAAACGGCCTGGGACGCATTTCGAAAATCATACTTAAAAGTTACCACGCCTCACATCCCTTGGACTATATCAAAGGGGCCGAAAAATTCACCACCATGGTTCAGTAGGGAGGTCCGTATCCTTCTCCGTAAGAAAAGGAAAACGTGGGATAGATTTAGGTTACTGGGGACTGATGAGTCAAAATATCAGTATCGAAAGGCTCGGAATACTTGTGCCTCGACCCTCCGTAAGTCTAGAAAATTGTACGAAGGAAAACTTGTTAAGGAATCCATAATGTCCTAAACGCTTGTATTCCTATATAAACCAAAGGACAAGGAGAAAAGGAAATATTCCTGCTCTATGGGGAGACAGTACTGCTTCATCATTGGTGGAGGACTACTTTGGTAAGGCTCAAGTGTTCTCGAACTACTTTAGCAACGTGTATACCATAGAAGCGCCCTTCCCGTCAGCGTATACAGATCCCCCCACACATACACTGGATAGCGTGACCATTAAAGAACTCGATGTCTTTGGCCTGCTAACTAAGCTTGACATAGGTAAATCCACGGGCCCGATGAATTACATCCTAGGCTACTGAAGGAATTATCTAACCTCGTTGCGAACCCTTTAAGTACATGCTTTAACCTATCCGTTACGCAGGGTCGCTTACCGAAAGATTGGAAAAACGCCATAGTAAGTCCTGTCTTCAAAACAGGCACGAAACACAAACCTGAGAACTACCGCCCCGTTAGCCTAACTAGTGTGGTTGTTAAAATATTAGAAAAGATTATTCGGAAAGAGCTGTTTAAGTATCTCGATAAAAACTGGATCCTCTCGGAGAAGCAGCACGGCTTCAGAATAAGTTATTCTTGTCTCATTAACTTATTAGTAGCTCGTGAAAGCTGGTGCGCTCTTAAAGACCAAAAGCTACCTGTAGACGTCGCCTTCATTGATTTCAGTAAAGCTTTTGATAAAGTTCCGCACAACCGGCTGTTATATAAGTTAAGACATGTTGGGATTGGAGGTAATTTATTGATGTGGATAAAAGACTTCTTAGTTGGGCGTCAACAAAGAGTAAGGGTGAACTCAAAGTTATCTAGCTGGGAAACTGTGCTTAGTGGAGTCCCCCAGGGTACAGTTTTGGGGCCAGTGCTATTCCTCTTGTATGTAAATGACCGTCCTTGTCTCCTATCAAAATCGGTCCTGCTATGTGCTGACAATGTCAAGATATGGAGAACGATACGATGTGAGGGTGATAGCTTAGAACTCCAAAATGACCTGAAGAAGTTATCTGAATGGTCTCAAACATGGCAGTTGCCGATAAATACTTCCAAGTGTGTTGTGATGCATATCGGTCATCAAGGCCTAGACACATACACGATGAGTAACACTGAGCTACCTGTCGTCCAGAAATATAATGACCTAGGAGTTATCGTTAGTCAAGACTTAAAGACTACTGCACACTGCCGTGCAATAGCCGCCAAAGGTTTTAGAACGTTATGGTCAATACGTAGAGCTTTTAGTCATGTCGACGCTAAGACGTTTTTGACTTTGTATACAGTGTCCGTTCGTCCTAAACTTGAGTACTGCATACAAGCGGCTAGCCCCTGCTTAAAAAAGACAGTGAGCTTCTGGAAAAGGTTCAGAGAACGGCGACTAAGCTGGTTCCCGGAATAACGAAGCTTCCGTATGAAGTCCGACTGGCCAAGCTGAACCTTTTCCCGTTGTCATATCGCAGAACTAGAGGCGACTTGATTACAGTCTACAAATTGCTTAGTGATAAATTTGCACCTAACATGCCCTCATTTTTCTTGTCTTCTAAAACAGAGGATTTACGAGGACACTCCAAAAAAGTTCATAAGCCGAGAACAAATTACTTGTCAGCTGACTATCGACTTTCCCATCGAATCATCAACGACTGGAATTCACTACCTCAGCACGTGGTTGAGGCTCCATCCGTCGACTCTTTCAAAAGAAAGTTGGATCAACTGAGAGACCACCATTGCCAGGACTAACATGGGCCATCGAGCCTCCTGTCCTTCGCAAACTGAAACTGTTTTTTACTTCTGATATACCGTCGTATTACCATGTTAAGTTGTAGGAATATATATAATAATTAACGTGCGACATACAAGTGTGGACATCACCATGATTCACCATCAATTGGAGTAAAAAAGAGCCAAAACGACCATTTTGAAGAGATTATACGTGCAC